TGAAATACAGTACTGTTTGATGACTTCACTATGTCTGCAATCTCTCGAGTTGTGTAATAAGGGTTTTCATCCAATAATGCTTTGATCTGGTTGATCTGGTCCACTTCAATAACAGGAGGTCTTCCTGAGCAGGGAGCATTTTCAAGGCTGAAATTACCTGCTTTAAATTTTGCAAACCACTTTCAAACAGTTGATTCTGCTACAGCACTCCCACCATAAACATCAAATATTTTTTTTTGCTGTTTGTACATCAGTTTTGCCTTTACGATAAAAAAAAAAACAAGTGTTGATAATGCACATTGTTTGCAACCATTTTTGCAATGAGACAAATTAAACAATATTTAAATAATCTTAACGGTTTTTTTGGTAACAGATGTGTCTCAAGGTCATTTATTGTAATATTCATTGGTTTGTACAATTCTAATCATTTTTGCATCAATCAGTGTCTCAACTGTTGGCTATCAAAAATCACTATGAACTTTCCAAACAACCCAATATTTTGAATTGTTAACGTTTATTCAAGATTACTTCTTCATAATAGTGAGTTATTTTGTTATTTTTATTGAATAATTATTTGAAATTCTTTTAATTTTGCTGTAAATCACATAACTTTAGACCAATAAATATTTAGAAATAGAAATTACATAATATTTACATAACTTTAGACCAAATTTCAATAATAACTAAAGTAAGTTGTAATATGGCCTGAAAATAATTCAGTAATTTAGACTTATGTATGATAATTGCTACTCTTAAGCACACACACACACACACACACAGCCAGCTTCAATTTATGATCAATGGAAACAAATTTTCCATTGCCAGGCATCATACTGACTAGTTTATGTCAAACAAGTGAAAATCCAATTGTTGCTTAATTTCTAATTCTTATTAAAACTAAAATAACAAAATAAACATCTTACTTATAGATGATTTCATAAGATCTTAATTAACATTTTCAGAATATTTATATAAGTTGCTATTTTTAATTACAACTGTTGATTTCTCTCTACTTTTAGCATTGTCAAAGATCATTAGTTTTTTCAGCATTGAGGTATTAAATTTAAAAAGTTACATAAATTTTTATTACAGTTAATATTACAACTAATCTATATTGAAGTACAGAAAAAAAAAACAAACCTTAATGGATGAAAATTTTAAGGCTGGTATTACACAATACCAAAATTGGGAGATTGTGTTAATTTTTAAATGAGTGCGCTCAAATTTTTGAGCACTCACTTTTGCTATTATTATTCTGATTATTAATAATATCAAAATAATAGCCTGATTAATTACGGCAATCATTTGGTTTAGTATCAATGCATCTGGCTTTGGGATGTTTATTATATATACATATAATCTAAAATACTAACACACAGTAAAAGCAAGAATAATATAATAAATATACAGCCCATATAAAGTCTAGTTAGTGAAATTACACCAGAAGTACTCTTCCAGTACATAACCTTTAAGTTATGAAACTACCCTTGTCTCAAAGCAATCAAACCATCCACCACTTTCTTTAAATTCCACTTTTGCAATACTTTCATCATCATCATTTCTTTTTGTCTCAGCTTTTTGAAAAAACAAGCTGAATTCTTAAGTAAAAATAACTTAACAGAACACCATACTTTATACATCCATCAATCCACTTAAGCAATAGATTTTCCATTTTATCATTTTATTTTTGCTAACAGATGCACAAAATAAACTGACAAAGCATAGATGATCACAGACAGTTCAAAGCTATTGTGGCTTGATGCTAAATGTGGTTTCCAAGGAAGGAGCTTGGAGACTCCTCACTGCTTAGGGTGCACACAATGCCTTTAAAATAGCCAGCTGTAAAACAAACATTAAATGAAATTTTTGCTTTATGACTTTTTCATAAAAGCAACAACCCTCTTTATATTTCTTTCAGTTAGCAAAAACTGGTACTAATATAAGCTTGCTTCTAGTTAAAAGATCTTTATAAATTTCCTTATATGGTGCTAAGCACTTATGAAGAATAAAGCAAGTATGGAATAAGGGAAAAACATTCGGCAACATCAGAAGCAGAAGCGTCGCGATCTGGCAACATTGAAACAAGTTTCAAGAAGGACCACGTATATCGACAGAAGGTGAGAAGCAAAAATTTACATACTTAAGTACTAATAGTTTACGAAAATAATAATTTTTGTGAACTATTATTACTTAAGTATGTAAAAATTTATTACATTTCCTGTTGTACGAGGGTTTTACCCAATTCTCAAACCGTGTCAGAGTGAATCCGTGCTATAGAAGTGTCGTGTTATATGGGGGTTACCTGTACTTTATTGAACAGTACATATTAAAATTGCAAAACTCACATTAAAAAATTTTGTATCGAAACTCTAAAAATAATTTTCAATTACAGTAGAGAATCGATTATCCAAAACAATTCGGGACTGGGATTGTTCAAGGAACTGATTTTTCGGATAACTGATCATTTACAAAAAAATATATTAAACACAAAACTGCACTGTATATAATTTGTATCACATATCTTACAAATACATACCTTACATAATATAATACATTAAACTAGACCTACAGTTCAGTTTGGCAGGGAGGGGAAGAGTGCTGCAATGCCATAGCCCTAGTGGAAATTTGAATTTGATGACTGGAACGCTTTTGGTTAACCGATGTTTCGGTTGATTAGTATTCAGATAATCAATGCTCTACTGTATTGAGAAAACCTCCTTTTATATGTTTCAATTATTGAATATGACTATCTAATCAAGCAGACTTAGATAAAAACAATAGTTATTGAAATCATCTATTGCCAAATACAAAAAAAAAACCAGCAACAAATTCCATAATTTTCCCAGCAAAAAACATTAAGACATTAGGATAAAATTAAAATTCTGAAGTACCATCTGTCATGAGATTTTGTTATAAAAAATATTATTATTATTAATTATTATAAAATGGCAAAAAGTTTAATTTTGAGGGTAGAGATGAATTTTATAAAAAATTGTAAATGCTAATAACAAGTAAACTCTTCATCAACTCTAACCCTCTCAAGACATGACATGTGACCACACTAGAGAGGTTGTGGCCGATGAAAACATTGGGCACAACCTCTCTATCATCTCTCCATCCCACAGTGATTAAAAATCAGTATCTGAACATGTGAAATGATAAAAACTAAAAATTCTTTACACAATCATGCACACAGGAAAAAAAAGCTTTATTCCATACACGACAAAGTTTCATTATCATTTTCCTTATTAAGCTTGAAGGAAGAGAGAAGTTATTTTGAACTTTATTAGATAAAATAGTGATTTTAAGTCTTAACAAGAATTCTTAAGGTATTGCAATAAAAACAAATTTTTGTGATGAATTACATCAAAAAGTGGGTGAAACGCTGACAAAATGAAAAAATTATTTCAAAAACAGTACAAACATATGATTAGATGGTAGAATTACATTCTTGGTGTAATTACTACCATCACAATCAGTGACATCTGGACAACCATCAAAAATAGATGCTGAATGCAGTGATTCAGTAAAAAGAAGAAAAAGTTTGGTTTTTGGCATATGGGCCTACATGCCTGGATAAAGGTTTTGGGATGCATTTTGCATATTGCCTATAGGCTTGATGTCAGAAAAGGGCAAATTAGAAAAACTGACAGATAGTAGAAGCAAAGAAAAAGGAAACATAGAGAGATGAGATTTTTAATCACTGTGTCTAAACCTGATTTTGGGACATGTGATGACAGAAATACTGCCAGATGGGTTTTAGGAAGTGCTACCATAACACCAGAAATTACTGAAGGCAACAAAAATTTAACTTTAAGAATAATTATTATTTTGATAGTCATGGCATGTGGTTATGAAATAGATATAAATCTATTTGAAAATTACTGAAAAGTAACTGCAGAATTATATATAAAAAATACACTTGTCATTACATGCCTCAAATCTCCAAAGATCTTGATATGGGGGAGATGGCTTATGGGCAATATTACTTTATTAATTAGCAAAGTGTCAGAAGAGGCCCAAGAAACACAAAATAAAGATGTTAAATATTTTAAAAGTATTTAATTTCAGGAAATTTAGTAGAGAATGAAAAATGGAAGATATGTTGCACATGCTTTTCATTTCTTCTGATTTCCCAATAAAACGATTAAGTGTCAAAAAAAGTACTGAAACTCCACAAAAAGTTTTAAACATGTTAAAAAATCCTGTTAGATAAACAGAACTACTAACGAAGATAACAATTATTGATTGTCAGCCATTATAGTTAGTGACAATAAAAATAAAGTGTTTATGTCAATTAAATTATAGTTATTGTTCTTCAAAACATTTTTTGTTAGTGTTTTATTATTATAACAATATACCACATTAATTTGGAATGAGAAAATAATTTTGCCAGCTAAGATACTAATTTTTGACCACTGAACATCCCCTTGAACTTTAACCACAAAAATTTAATAGCACCAATGTCCCTTATATACAAATGTCAAATTTTGTTTATTAATCTTTATCCCATCCTGAGATATTAAATAAAATAGACACCAACACACACAATGCACAGTCCATAGAATTTCCCCCCTTTTTACTTTTAAGTCTCAAACTTATTTGTTAACTACTGAATTCAAAGATGCTTTAACTTAACATCTACATCATGAAAAACTTTACTTTAGAAAAAAAAACAAATTTTCATGTCAGATTAAGACCTGTTTATTTAAATTATCTTCTTATAAATCAAATTTAAACTTAAAATTCACAAAAATTATTAAGCACAATTAGTCACAAAACATAACCATTTACTAGGCAGTAAATATTTACAGTAGTTACATTTTAAAAAGAACAAAGCTATTTGTTCTTTTTAAATTGTAAAATTCAAATATCTCCCAAAGAAGGTTAATTAAGAAGAGTGAAAACATTAGAATAATAACCATTTACTACACAGAAAATATTTATGTTTTGTGGTTGATGTTGGTTCAGTTATAGAGGGGATAAGAGCAATTACTCACCGACTACTGGCACACGACCCCGTGGTCTTTGTCTTGTTTCTGCTTGATCTTCCTTGAATGGAACTGCTTTTTTCAACTACAGATGAATTATCAAAATTTGATTTGTTTGTGTTGGTATTAAATTTATTGCTTGAAAAATTGAACTGTTGATCTAATTGAATCTTACTTCTTTTAGTTCTACTTCCACTACTCCAATCTAAATTTTGACTTAATGAAGACTTCGAAGTTGTCAAATTTTTAAGAGGACTGCTGGAATCAGTAATAATACCACCTTCTTTTCCAATCAAAGAATTATCTAAAACTCCTCCACTGGCTAATTTTATAATTTGTCCTTGTTTATCACAATTTGATATATGAGATTCAATTTCACTTGATGATTCTCTTTTCTTACTATTTCTTATATTATTTGAAAGCTGTCCTTTATTATTACTTTCAATTCCTGAATTAATACTGACAGGCTCTGAATTACTGATATCTGGAGCAGATGTATCAGTTTCTATATTATTATGAAAGGAACTGTTTTTTTTGTTACCTAAAAAATTTTGTAATTACTTGTTAAGTTGGTAAATAATCAGAAAAAAAATATATAAAGTTTAAGAAATTAAATAATATATTAAGGATCATTATTTGATGTAAACAGACTTAAAAATAATTATTGCAATAACAAATTTCAATTATTTTTGATAGTTCATATCCACAATGCATGATTTGAAGCTATTAATTCCTTTTAATTACATACATTCAGCACATGAAAGCCATATTAAGCTACAATTGATTAAAAATCCTTTAAAAATACCTCTTTATTAAAAAAAAGTATGCCCTTAGTAACACAAGCCATGTAGTTATATATTATTAGTAATATATGTACTGTACAACCAATTTTTCTAGTTGTACATATATTACTAATAATATATAACTACATAATATGTCATAATTGACAGTATGGTCATCTCACATGTGAGAATTACTGAAGTGTTTCAAATAAGTTGGTATCTAATGTAAACAAACTGACAATCAAGTTAATATCACTCTACCAAAGCAATCTAATTGATTCTGTCTAACTAGCATTCATTACACATTAAAATTTGCTAATTGAAAGGCTTGGTGCAACAACAAGTCAATTAAATTTTATAAAATTTTTTTGCATTTAAATTTTCATTGTTCTAAAACATTAATATTTGAAATCAACTTGTTCCAGAATATCTTAGTTCTTTTTAAATTGAAAGTTATTCAATTTAAAAAGAAATATTAAGATATTCTTTCAATTTAATAAAGATATTAAATTGAAAGAATATCTTAGTTCTTTTTAAATATCTTAGTTCTGTCCTGAAGAAGGTTAATTAAGATGTAAATAATAACAACTCAAAGCCCAAGAAGTATACAATAAATCACCGAAAGATCGCCTTAATATTGGGCTATAATATGGCTAATTAAATGATTAGTATAAAGTAATTTGACATTAGAGATAGACGTTAGGCACCATCTCTTAAGAAAATTAATAATTAAAATTAAATAAATTAAATTATTATCTAAATTAAGAGCCTTCTGGAATAAAAGAACTGGCCTGGGATATTTCTTGATTCTATACGTACAGGATGAGTCAATTTCATTCGGTCCCTTCACACGCTGTTGAGGTAATAACAATTCCACAGCAGAGTCAACCTTTTATTGTAGGCTACTCATCCACAATCCAATGCAAAAAAGTTAAAATAGTCCTCTAGCAGTAGCACAATAATAAAATTAATAAATAAATTAAAAAAATTTTTTAAATGTATTTATCATTGTGCTTCAGAGTTAGCAACACTGATTATACTGTATCCTCATTTGGTCATTTTTATCAAGTAGAGACACTAAGAATTAATCATATTGTGTAATTCTCATTGTGATTAAAAATGGCAACTGAACACAAATGTGTCACTCTCAATTTTAATAGTAAAATGGACATTTTGAAGCAAATTGATGAGAATATTAAGAAAACAGACTTTGTAGATAGTTAAAACATCAATGCCAAATTTATCAAAACTTGTTAAAAACCAAGCCAAATTGAAAAAACACTCATTATTAATTATGACAGGATGTTAGAGAATGAATGCAATTTTTTTTACTGTATTTGATTTTATGATTACAGTGCCTGTAGAAAATTTTTTGCTTTATAATATCATCCTAAACTGTATCTTTTTTAATGTGGCAAATGTAGGACATACACAGTAATCATACATGACTGGTACAATGTCTTTTCATGAAATCAAGCTTTTCTACTGAACTCCTCTTCATATCAACTCTGTTTAATGTTACCTTATTCTGACAGCCCCAAAGATATGATATTAAATAGGTTTGATTATACTTAATTACAGTATCATAATAGTTTAAAATATTAATCTTTACTGTACATATTAATCTTTACTACAGGAACTGTAATCATAAAATCAAATACAGTAAAAAAAATTACATTCATTCTCTAACATCCTGTCATAATTAATAATGAGTGCTTTTTCAATTTGGCTTGGTTTTTAACAAGACCTTAAATTAACTAACTACATTTCTGGAGACCAACCTAAGAAGCAACACACTATGCCCATGTAGATTCAATCCAATCAGGCTTGAAAGTACTTAGGAGATCAACAAAATGCAGTCAGTACAAGAACTCTAAAAATAATATATTATGTATAGTGGAAAAGAGTTTTTAATAGAATGTTAGTTTTCCCAAGATGTATTATCAACATTAAACTACCAGAAGACTATCTTAGGAAAAAAACTGCATATCTATGTTTAAGAAAACTAATTTCAGTTAATAGGAGTGTGATAAAGCTATGCAAGGAACTGTAAAACTTGCTAAATAGTGTGAAGTGGAAGACAATATTTTATGGGATTAATAAAATCAGCAGATAATGCCCTGGACAAATATAGGGAAAAAGTTAGGAAGAAGCATACTAAGAAAGAGTAAAGCCTATTGTTCTGTCAGAATAAAAAGAAAAGTCTTCTGAGAGTTTGAGTTTATATAATGTGGCAGAAGGAATCAGGATTCCTAAGAATATTAGAACTCTCTTAAGTTCCAGGTCCGTAATGGTTTATAAAAATGAACCAGACAGATTCTTCATAAATTAGATGAGGTAGGAAAAAAATAATTCAATGGATTATAGTGGACAAAATAAGAAAAAAAAAAAGATTACAAAGAGAGGAGAAGAATAAGCAACATAACCTTGTTGGTTATTCTTCTTCTCTTTCTGTAATTACTATTGTAAAGTAATGGTTAGAAGCAGAGCACCTACTGCTAACCAGAGAGACTAAGTCTAGAGAGATAATTTTACCTAACATACTTGTTTATTGTAAGTGTAACTAATAATAAATTTAACATGGCCAACAGTAATTTATGTTTAATAATATAATAAATATAATTACAACTTTTAACAAAGAAAAAACTTTGCTTCAGTTCTTTCCTTTTATTGTTTGCACCATCAGCAGTTCATAAAATCACAAAACTCACGGAGATGACCTTCCTTTTTAGGCTACAGTATATGCAATGTATCTCTCTGACCATCCATCACTGGCATTAAAGTCAGTTTCTACTCTAAATACCTCAGCAATTTCCATCGCTTGTTTCAATATCAGCCCTGAAACAGGAAGATTCAATGAATGAATTTGCTTTAGCCAACATACCAGAGCATATTTGGCATCTTTGTATGGCAACTTTCTCTGGTGTTTGAGACAGCCGCAACAAAGACCCAAGTTTCTTAATTTCCTCTTTTGTCTTCAGAATTTCCACCAATGTTATTTGAAATGTTTTCCTTTTGCAAATTCAGCTTGCAAAGTTTTATTACATTCAAATTCAGATACAAGTTCGTATTTTTCCTTCAGCGTAAGCATTGTTAGGTTTCAGATACTCATTTCTGACAAAAATGTGAAACACTTACTGCAAATAACACATGAATGAAAAGTGAGAAAATGCAAAATTGGGTTCTGCTGTGACGTTAAGCTATGTGGTGTAAACTCTTCTTTCAGAAGCGGAGTCAATGTCTGAACAAGTATGGGACAGAAAACATATGTTGATTTATCCAATGGTGACGTGTTAAAAGGCGTCGAGTAAATCAGAGTTTTTTAACATTAATGCCTATGTAAGTTGGCCAGGATCACAGAAAACTGATTACTTAACTGACAGTGTCTAGTTATACCTATGACAACTTATGTGGACTTGACTGTAGTTGTGATCTGAATAAGACAAAAATGTCTTGAAAACTTTTCATCATGATTAAAATATCCAAGGATTTCTTAATATTTTAGCATTTTGTATTTTAGTTTGTTTGATGGAACAATATAGATCTGAACAGGGTTAAATAAAATACAAATATAATGACTATCAAATGGCATTCAATAGCTGATAACAATATGTAATAATGGATAGGGATTATTTTAAAAGAACCATAGTGAATAAATATTGTTAATAATTTAAGCTTTAGTTTTTTACTTGGAAATTTTTGATCATATTCTATTGTAAAAGCTAAAGCAAATAATTTTAAAACTAGAACTAATGTTTAAATAATCTAATTGCCTCACTTTGATTCTTTTGTAACTTTATTCTTGTTCTTTTTATTGAAGGTGATGGAGTTACTTCTCTCTTAGAATGAGATCGTTTCAAACTCCCAGAAGAACTTCCAGCTGATGTTTCGTCTATTACTTCAGGTGAAGCAGGATTTGAAAGTTTATATAAATCCTGTTGAGCCAGAATCCTGGATCTTGATCTACAACAAAATAATTGGAAACATTTAAAAAAATGTAAAATTGTTTTAAATTTAAAAAGTTTTTAGCTTGAATAGAGATAGCGACACACATCAACAAAACATTTTTTATTAGAATAAATACTATTAAAAATTACTGATTTAAGTATTTTACAGCAAACAAATATATACACTTAATGAAGTTTAAACAGATAACATATAAACAAATTTTTTTGATAAAGTCTAACAATTTATAATTAGACATCAAATTATAATTAAATCTCAAATTTGAAATCATGTATTACAATGTGCTAATAATTGTTCAACAATTTAACTAATTTTGAATTAGAAGACAGTGATCTCATATAATCTGATAAAAAAAAAAGTTATTCTCTAACTAAAAATTAACTTTATATATGTTACTGTGAAAGACCGAAATTACAGAATGTCGATATTCTCTGGTGAATGTCGACACATACAAAATACGTTGGTAAAAGACAGAATATTTGGTTATACTATTATACATTTGAACAATTGCCGATGTATGTCGACAAGCACAGATAAGCTTTGGTGGAGGTCAAAACGACAAACGAGAAGCCAATGTTGACAGAGAGGCGACAGTCTATCGCAAATTCTTTGCCGTTTATTTCTGCTCAAATTGGTGATACCATACTAATACAAATCCCTGATGTTGACCGTGGCCGTACAGATGCTCGAAATGTGTTGGCAGTTGTTGTTGGAATAGAAGACTGCTACTTTTATAAATTGGCAAACAAAAATGACACCCTCAAGCAGCTTTATACTTGTAATCAGTTTGTAATTTGTAAAGAAAAGTTACTTTCCATAGATGAGCTTTCTTCTCAAGAAATATCGCTGGAGAAGCAGCTGCAGATAATTCAAAAAGTGGAGGGCAAGGCTACATACGCTGTCATTGCAAAAAGAAGTGTTCCATGAATAAATGCAGTTGTAAAAGCAAGGGACTTGTGCAATTCAAAGTGCCATAACAGTTTAAGCTGTTGCAATAAATAAGATTGTATAATATTAATCACATAATTTATGTGTAAATTTATTATAGTATTATTTTCTTTAATGATTTAGAATGTGCTGTTTGTTTTAGGTTCAACAGTTTATTTACATGTGCTGTTACTTAAGTTTTCTCCTATTTTGACATATTAAAAAGTTGCATTTTTGTCTTAACGTAATAAAAATATTCACCATCAGTGCACGCTGAATGTCAACATTTGCCGGTGTAAGTGAGAAATAATGATATTTAGCAAATATTTCGTACATACACAAAATGACTGTGAATGCTGACATTCACCGGAGAATGTTGGCATTCGCCAGATATCGGTCATTCACAGTAACATATACAAAAATGTAATTATTATTACATATAAAAAAAAAGTTAATCATTATAAACAAATGAAACAAAACTGGAAAAATTAAAATAATTATCAGAAAAAGCTTGATATGCTTTTTGAACAACATTCTAAATTAGCTAATCAAGCAAATATATTTATAATTTTAACACCGCTACATATTTAATAATTATAATTAACAGCAACAAGCTTGAAACATTTATGTAGTCAAAATTTTGGAAATAGAAAACACATCTTCCATATCTATTTTCCCATTATTATTTATAATTTTCATAAAACCTTTATTTGGATTTTTAAAAATGTTTCAAGTTTAAAAACTGAAGAAATGAGAATAAAATTTTTGCAAAATACTTTAACTAAAATGGAGAGAAAAAAAAATAAGACTGATAGGCCTCGAAGTGCCATTTTCCCTCTGGAAAAGTGAGTTGAAATACAGAAACAGTGAGTAAAAGTGAGTGTAATAGTGACAAAACAAAGTGAAAACATGGAAGGAAAACTCAGCAAAATAACAGTAAAAGTTTTTTTTCTCTTTTTATTCTGTTATGGTTAAATACATTTTAAAAATTTCTGTATATACCCAGGGTGGCCAAGCTCCTTGATAGTCTGAGCCATTTTTCAAAATTTGAAATTTTTCGCGAGCCGCAATTAAATATGTATTAAAAAGGTATGCAAAAAATTCCAGATTACAAATTATATCCGTAGCAAGAGTGATACAAATTGTTTCCTCCTTGAGCACAATGTCAAATGTCCGTTGCAATGACAGTTTACAAATTCAAAATCGGTCTGGAGTCGGTCGATAACGGATGATTTTGCCACTGTTTGTGTTCGTTTGCGCAGTTCTCGATGAGTCATATCATTCTTAACTTGGACGGAAATGAAATTTGTTACAACGTTGCACTTAGTCTTTCATATTTGTTGTTAGTAATTTAAAAGACATTTTGAAACACATACGGAACGATAATAATTTTTTAAAATACAATAACACAAAAATGAAAAGGGAACTCGGGTACATTTATCGAGAGCCACAAATAATCCTTCAAAGAGCCGCATGTGGCTCGCGAGCCGCAGGTTGGCCACCCCTGGTATATACTGTAATTAAGTAGCCACTCATTATATCATGGATTCGGATATATCGCATTTTTTTTTTGTTTCTCCAAATTTTAAAATATCAATTGCCATTGAATTTTTATTTGCAAGAAAATACAGTATTCATATTTCTACCATTGTCTTTGAAACTACCACTGAAGTGAAACAATAAATTCATCAAGATCTAAATATGCAAAACAGATAGACATATCAATTGTCATTTGTTTCCTTTTGATATTAAAAATTGCTTATTTATTAGTTTTAAGTACCATCTCCTCATTTACAAGTTTCTGTGAATTCGAAATTTCACACCTTTTTGTGAATGGATGGTACTATTGCTTCAATTCACATAAAGGTGTGAAACTTCAAATTTTTGGTTCCTCTTGCTTTTGAATACTTTTAAACTAACAAGCATTACATGTGCTGTCCATACTTCATTCATGTTCTTGCTGTTAATGGCCTTCTCCAGTTCTTTTTGTTTGCTGCTTTTAACAAAACTTGGCCTGTAGCATGTATTTCACTTCTACTTTTTTCTGGTTTAAGCACTCTTTTCGACACTGATGCTCTATCAGGAGGAAGTGCATGGCGTGAAATTGAAAATCCCCGTTCCACATCAGCATTGCCATGAGAGAGGGTCAATGCTGATTTAACTAATTTGGCTACACTGGGACATCTATCATGATCAGAAACTGTTTATTTTTTAATGCTTTGAGACATGTAACTATTGATTCCAAAATAAATTAATAAATCTGCAATAAACAGATTTCAAATAGTATAAGTAAAATAATGTTTTATTAATGATTTTATAAATAACAAGGAACTTTTTCCTGCAGATGAATAAAAATTTGTTACAACGTTGTTACAACATTGTTAACCTTTTGGGAAGTGTGTGAAAATTTTTCCTGCCAGCAATCACGTGTTTTATTTTTTACAACACTTAAAATTTACCAAATAAATTAAAAGATTTGATGTGTAAATACAGTAGACCCTCCTATATAACGGGTTCGTATAGTTCAGATTCCTATATGACGGTGAAAAAATTGCGACTGTATTCATATAAACACACTAAAAGAGACTCATATAATTCAGTAAAACATCATCGCCGACTTGTGTCACGACAGGATTGGTCAAATCTAGACCAATAGCGAATATTGCACAAACCATTGAGTTTAAACGAGCAGCGGACCTATTAAAAACTGTTTATTATTTAATGTCCATAAAAATTATATTTATATTAATGATATCTCCAAAGTTCAAAGTTTTCGCAGAAAAACAATTTATCAGGAAGCACGTGAGCGTCATTGCTTCAGGTAATTAACTAAACTGACTTCCAAATTGGACCATTAGAACAATGATGTTTGACTTTAAACTTTGTATATATCAAATTTATGTGGCCGATTGATATATACAAAGTTTAAAGTCAAGCATCATCGTTCTAATGGTCCAATTTAAAAGTCCATTTAGTTAATTACCTGAAGCAGGTCTTGGTGAAGGCCAAAAACATTTGGAATTTATGTTTAAGTTCAATTACTGGTTAAAAAAGGTTTTGTTTGTGATATAATTTTTAATGTTTAAATAAAAAACTGGCACACAAACTGGAAATATATACAGTTGATCCCCCTATAAGATCATTGATTTTTCCGTTTTATCTGAATTACATGTTGTACGAGTCACTTAGATTTTACAAATACGTGTGCCGGGCTGTGAACGGCTCACATATTTGTAAAATCTAAGTGACTCGTACAACATGTAATTCAGATAAAACGGAAAAATCAATGATCTTATAGGGGGATCGACTGTACTAAAACAACCATCTTTCAGACAGCCGAAAACATTTGAACATTAAAATTTTTTTGTTGTTCATTTGCTGGAATTATCGTTTAGGTGTGAAGTGGTTGTTTTAATGTTTAAATAATAACATAATATGATTATACTGGGTAAAAGAAATGTCTATAATGTAATACTGGTCATACTCCCTTATAGAAGGGACCTGATATGTAATTTAGTTTGCACACTCCTTATAAAACAACTCCAACCACCAAGAAGATTCCAACAGTGATCAAACATGCAACCCTAACCCCAGGCACATGTTGATAGTATATGACCAGTATTTCCATGCCTTATACAAAGAAATTGCTAACAATATGCATACCAAGTTGGCATACAAGCAAGTTCCCACAGTGTATAAATTACTACACAACATAAAGGACAAGATTGATAAACATAGGACCTCAGGAGTATACAGTGTTCCTGTGAGGGACAACAGATTCCAGAGATATGGTACACATTAGGTCCATTAAGCACGCCATACACAAAAGATTGCAAGATCATCATTACAATATTTTGAAAAAACAAACCACATAGCTACCAGAATGATGAACACATTTTTACTGCCATACTGGCAGCTTCAAAAGTCCACTCCTGTAGAAGTCCATGCTAACACAATGTAACCATTGTGAACCTCAGTAAAACCTTGTCATCATCATCAAATACCCTGCAAGTGACATAAATGGACAGGGCATCCCTGTCCATTTATGCCACTAAGACTGACATACAAGC